CTGTTGTCATTTTGCACATCTCTGATGTTGCTTTTTTTCAAAAACTGTAAAAATGTCCATACTTTCATATTGGTTATTTATTCTCCAGTTGCACAGCTTTACAGTACAGAGTTGTATGTGTTTATCTTTTAACTCATCACTATTATTTTATTCTTATACACTTTTGTGTGACCATTTTTTCTATAATCTTTTTGCTGCTGTAAATAGCAGAACTTTCCCCATTGTGGGACACTAATGGGATCTTCTCTTCTATTCCTTAATGCACATCTCATTTCTCCCACTCTCCTCTGAATCATGTCAAACCACTGTCCTTTCTTGTCTTCTTCCAGTTGCTTTTGCCACTTTTCCTTCAGTCTCTGTTTGATGATGCTCTTTGTTTCCATCTAACTAATTTTAACTGACACATGGACGGCTTCTCTTGTAGCTTCCTTTGCAGCCTTATCTGCCATTTCATTTCCTTTAACTCCACTGTGTGCTGGTACCCACAAAAATATGACTCTAATCCCATAATTTGAATTCTGTATGTTTGCTGGATTTCTATTAAAATATGTGTTCTACTATCTGAGAGACTTCTCTGTAAACTAATTAGTGATGACGATGAATCTGAACAAATAACCACTCTCAATGGTCTTATTTCCTCTACACATTTCACTGCAAACAGAATTGCTAGCTGATATATTATCACTGTTCCTCTTTCCTATTATGATACAAAACTCTGGAACAATAACAGATACTCATATCTTGCAGTAACTGTTAATATATGCCTGTATTGTGTGTGAATTCAAATGACACCTTCTGTCCTTTTTTTTCTTTTCTAATAGTGTAAGATCTACTTCCGCTTCAGGTAGTTCAGGGAGCGTTATCACAGATCCTTCCTCCCAGCAGCTGTAAGACTCTATAACCATCACTGTTCCCAACCACCTCAATACGTTGTTACATTCAGGCTGACTTTGCACAGTTGATACAACTCTTTACAGTACAGTATTTCATTTGTTTATTTTTTTAACTCTTCACTATTATAAGGCCCACATTTGTGTGACTATTTTTCTATAATCTTGTTGCTGCTGTAACAGAACCTCCCTATGGTGGGACAATAAAGGGATTTTATATCCTTTTCTATTCTAGTATCCAAGGTGGCACTGCTGGCAGTGGTACTGTTGGACCGAACTTTAAATCAGTTTATTCCAACTCCATTGCTTTTTGTATAACTGCTTTTACTCTCCCTCTTCTCCATTTTTCCCAACAAGATTTTAAAGTGCTTTGTGCTGGATGATCTTCACTATGGCCCTGTAAATTAGCCCAATAGTTCATTTAAATAATATGCTACTTCTTCATGTCTTTAAATGTTGGACTCTGTTTACCATGCCTCATTAAGGTTCATCACAAACTGTAGAGCCATGACATCACTGTGACCTGTACTCTCAGGTGGGATGGCCTTTCCTCTCTACGAGAAGGCAGTCATTGTCATTGGTACACGTTTATTTACAAGGCCCTTCTTGGATTACTGCCCTCTTACATTTGTACCTCACTTACACAAAAAAACATGGCTTCTTCTTCCTTGATATCCATTGATCAGCTGTTGCTCACTGTTCCTTTTGCCCACACAGAACTGGGGAAGAAAGCCTTTAGGCACGCAGCTCCTTGTGCGTGGAATTTATTTTTACAAAGAAACTGGAAGTTTTTATCTTTAAATGCTTTTAAGTTGAAAGAATTTGAAGCAGCCTCAATGATCTGTAATTGTTTTACTTGAAATGTTTTTTAATGTACCTGTCATTTAATTTAATGTATCTCTGTTTCTTGTTTAACTTTGCTGCCTCTTGGCCAGGACTCCTTTCAAAAAGAGGTTTTTATTCACAATGGGATTTTTTTTTCTTCTGGTTAAATAAAAAATATATATATATAAAAACTGAATGCTTCTCAACTCAAGTGGCATTTCACCCATTTCCACCTGCAGTGCTGCTGTTAAGCTTGTTTTAAAAGCCCCTTTACATAATCTCAAAGCCTGAAACTGGATGTTGTCCGATTTTTTTAGAGATGTAGAAGTTCTTATTTGAAAGATAATTGTGTCTAAAATGTGAAGACTGCCAGCTCCTGCTATGGGGTCTGAACCCGGAAACCAATTCTCACAGCTCCTCAACAGCAGATAGTTTTTTTGCCCAAATTTATATTGTTTTAACTTTAGATTAACTTTACCTTCTTCAAACTTTATTTAAAAAGCTCTACCAAAAAGTAAAACCCGCTCATGATCTTCATCATTGTTTTGGTCTAGAATGACACAAGCTTCTCATGAGGTGCATTCACACATCCATGTTCAAATGTAAGGTCAAATTCAGACTAAGCAGATGCCTTTTAAAACCTTTTATTCCTTTTTGTTTTTTTAATTCAATGAATCAAGGAATACAAATTACAGCTGATTTTCGTTTCAGAGAGTTGATTTCGTTTCTCTGTACTTGTGACAGTGTAATGACAGTTAAACAAAAAAAAAAAAAGATTACTGCTCTAAGTGGGTTTCTCTGTCAGCTAAAGGAATGTTTTAGAGTCTCTATATTCCATTTAATAATCAATCCATTACTAAATTAGTTGACGATTATTTCAATAAACGATCAATCATGATTAATCCGACAGCTCTAGTTAAAACCAGTGGCTAGATTTTCTACCACTCGTGGCCGAGCAATGGAAGCCTGACTAATGCAAAAGAGGAAATCACTACAATATTCAGAATCAGCCCTAATCGCCTGTCTGTCTTTACATAGTTCGTATTTAACTCCGCCCACATCGTATATAAAAACAGCCAATGTGAAATATTCATCCTGGCGTTAGTTACATCCAGTTTAAATCAACATTGAGTAGTTCCCTAAAACCTTTTTAACTCTAAAACAAGTTTCAGAGGCTGAGAGGAAGCCGACCAATCAGAGCAGACTGTGAGACCCCAGCTGCTTCTTCATTGGAGTTTTAAGCAAGCGTTAGTCTAAGAGGTCTGACAAATGGTTTTGAAAGATTAAACACAGAAAAAATTGTGTTGAAGAATTTTTGGGACATCAAAGCTCCCCACAATTAAATTTTTTTTCTGTAAAAAACTAATATATGGTATTGTATGTGCTCTTTTATCCTATTTTTTCCCTCAAAGTTTCACACTTCAGTTAGAGTACAATTTAAGCGATGGAAACTAAAGTTTGACTCCTCCGTTTTTGCAGTAAAACACGTCCAGTTAAATCAGGATCAGCGGGAGCTTCTGGTCTTCCTTCTTGGAGGTGGTGAAGGTTGCTCTGCTTCCATCTGGTAATGCCTCTGAAAATCAAATTAGCATTTAAAAGCCATGCTTTCCCCACCATCTGTGTGTATCCGGTGCATTCAAGCTAGTATTTGTGTTTACCAGCAGGTTCTCGTAATGCGTTTTGCTGCAGCAGTGCTCTTCCTCTTCAGCGTTCTCAAGCAGGTAGAAAACAGAGCAGAGGGAACAGAAATATCCCAGTTTACGGACCGTAAACTCCTTACCTGCAGATGAGAGAGAGCAGAAACATGAAAATGCAGCGAAGCATTTCAATGTGGTAAGCTAATGTGACTTGATGTCTCACCAAAGGAGACGTCTGGGCTGAATGGTGGCAGGTTGTAATCATCAGCGCCACAAAGAGACCGGCGGGTTCGCTTCCTCACAGGTTCAACAAGGTTCTTACTCTGGCTTTTGACAACTGTTAAAGATACATAAGAAAAAAAAAAAGACAGATATACACTTAGATCAGAAGAAGATGATCTTTTCTTAAAGAAAATAAAGATTAAAAGCTTTTTAGACTGAATTTTTAGTCCTAAAGCTCTAATAAATGAACCTTTTAGAAGCCAATAAAGGTTTTCTTCTAAATAGAAACAATTAATTTGCTAATTGATTAATACTCAGATAGCCAAAGGTTCCTTAAAAAAATACTTTTTACGCAATTAAACTAGGCAAAACTAAATTTTTTCCATTTGAGGAGATAAGGATAGAGCATTTCTGATAAGAGTAAAAGTTTTTTCTAATCTTAAATGCAAAATGTTAATATATCTTTTTACAATCTTGGTATAAGTGGGTCGCTCTCTCAGCTAAAGGCATCTTTTACAGTCTCTAAACTCCATTTAAACGATTAAACAATTACTAAATTAGTTGACGATTATTTCAATGATCGATTAATCATGATTAATCCGATTGTTTTAGCACTAATTTTCATAAATGTGTGGATTTTATTTATCAAAAAGTGCTGATACACAAAAATAGCATACTTTGCATATTTTTCAGGGTTTGAATTCATGGAACAGTGCCCATTAATGAACATGGGGGTGGCAGCATCATGCTACGGGGCTGCTTCTCCTAAGCAGAACCTTGATATAACTCCAAAGATTTAACTCCCTGCAGAATTCTGTGTAAAATTTGTAACTCAAAGCCGTATATATGGATCTGATGATGTGTTTCTCTATGATTTTCCAGAGATCATAACTCTAGAATTTACATGTGGGTTCTGTTCCTCAGATAAATGTGGCAAAAAAAAAAAAAAAAGACAATTTAATGACTATGAAAAGCCAAAAACTGTAAATGGTGGCAATATTACAGATAATAATGTATTAGGTCATGATGACAGAACAAATGCATTATTTTTGTTGTAAATAATCTACAGCACAGATTTCAAATGGCCCAGTCGAAGTCTGGAGCTAATTTGGTTCAGAACCTGAGGTGAGGTTTGAAAACTGATGCTCACGTATTCACGCGATCCAAAAAGTGAATAACGTCGAACTTATTCTTTTGTTTCTGGTACTGACATCCCAAACCTTTTAGGTGGGCTGTGGTTTGTCCTTCTTCTTCTTTGGAGCGTCCATCCAGGTTCTGACTGTCAGGACCTTCATGCTGCTGTTCAGTTAAAGCAGCGTCAGCATCTTTTTCCTCCTCCTGGATCTCTGTTGATAAAGCCGACGTGTCTGTGTTCAGAGCTGAGGAGGAATCCAGCGGCTCCAGAGGCTGTGATTCTTCTTCTTCTTCTTCTTCTTCTTCACTTCTGTCTTTAGTCTCCTCAGTCTTTTCTACTGCAGCAGTGCTTACTGCAAACAAGACACAATAGTGGTGAATCTTTTTTTATTTTTAGCATTAAACATCACTTGTGCAGCTGCTTGTGAGCTCTGCTACCGGTTGTGTTTCTGGTTTTTCTCCTGGTTCGGCCTCTTTTTCTGGTTTGTTTCCTTTTGTTTTCCTTCTCCTCCATCTTCTCCTCCTCAGCATTTGGAGTCTGATCTAAAACATAAGATATAAAATAACATTTACAGAGATTTGTGTCATATTTTGATGTATTTTGGGAGATTTAAAAAGAACGCAGTGTATCTAAACCTTTTAGGTCAGCTGTGGTTTGTTCTTTGTCTTCTTTGGAGCCTCCATCCAGGTTCTGACTGTCAGAACCTTCAGGCTGCAGCTGCTGTTCAGCTGAAGCTGCTTCAGTGCCCGTTTCCATCTCCTCCTCTGGCTGGACTCCTCCTGAATGAGCAGGACTTTGTGGCGTTGGAGGCCTCAATTCTTCTTCTTCTTTGTTTAATTCCGTTCTCTCAGTTTCCCCTCCAGCAGATTTTCTCACTGCAAAC